TGCAAAGAGGAGAATTGTGAGAGAAGTAATCGGTTGCTAAGAGCATTCTCACGATCTCACTGATAAAATCCTGCATGTGGAGTTCTCTATGGTATATACCTGTGTATTTTTGTATTTCATAATCCCAAACCATTTCTGGAACATGCCTCAGTTTAACAGGCAAAGGGACATATTAGCTGTAATCTACATATTTTGTATTTCATCCCCATGGGTCAGAACATAGTTTACATTTTTTTTCCCCCTGTGTTTTGGGCACAATAAAGATTTTGGATAGTGATGTGTTTCCTTGATAAAAGTAAAGATGATCTTACCGTTCCTAGTCACACAGGGCAGGGTTTATGACAAGTCAACTCTTGGACTTCCATGATAAAGATGTTATTTTGCAGTGGTTGTTTCCAACTGGCATGTGCACTGGGAGCTGTGGGTGGAAAGCTGGTGAAGAATCACCTGGGAAAGCTTTTGCAAACTCTCCATGGCCCTCAAAGATTTAAATACACCTCAATTCCCATATACCCCTTCTTATGTGGAAAACCCTTTATAGATGAATGAAATACCAAGGATTAAGTCTGTGGAAAGCTAAGGTTTGCTTGGGCAGCTCTGGGTTACCAGAGCGTGTTTTAGTATCCAATTAGTCACTTTGTTTGCTCAAGAGACCCTATCCCCAGTACAAAGATGAGAAAGAGAGACTAAAGAGCTCACAGCCATCTTCCAAGCCCATTTTGCCTTTGTCAAGGCACTTTCAAAACAACAATAAAAATCTTCACATTATGAAATTCAATTGGATTAAATTGTATTAAAATTTGTTGAGTTCCAACTCAAACTGTCCTAGGCCCAATTAGACATTCAGGGAAAGTAAGACATGACTCAGCCCTCAAGGGATTTGCAAGTGAATTGAAAGCTATTCCCAGTGGGAGATTTTCCTTCCTCTTCTAAAAGCCATATGTTGAATTGTGAAGAATTTTTTTTCAAGATTCTAACACAGTATGTATTAAAGATAGTTTGCTTATGAAAAGCACACAAATTGGCAGTCTTATGAATTTTCTCTAAAGGGACTTTCTTCTTTTAAGAAACTCTGAAACCTGACCCCGTACAATAGGAATTTTGACATAACCAATCATTAGTCCTAGATAATCCGAAACCAATTTTGGTCTATCCAAGTTGCAGCCAAATCTTCCATCCTCTTAACTTCTTGAATAAGACAAACTCTAGAAGTTTAATAAGCAAAAATTGGTCTCAGTCCCCACAAAGTCTGTAGTGATTTCTACATGTATTAGTCTGTTTTCATGTTGCTGATAAAGGCATACCTGAGACTGGGCAATTTATAAAGAAAAAGAAGTTTAATGGACTCACAGTCCCATGTGACTGAGGAGGCCTCACAGTCATGGCAGAAGGCAAAAGGCATGTCTTACATGGCGGCAGGCAAGAGAGAATGAGACACAAGAAATAGGGGAAACCCCTTATAAAACCATCAGATCTTGTGAGACTTATTCACTACCACGAGAACAGTATGGGGGAAACTGCACCCATGATTCAGTTCTCTCCTACTGGGTCCCTCCCAAAACATATGGGAATTATGAGAGCTACAATTCAAGATGAGATTGGGATGGGGACACAGCCAAACTATATCACTACATATTGAATGTATATGGTTTTTCTCCAATTAGGTTGCAGGTATTTGAAAAGGAGAATTACATCTTTATATTCCTTTGTTTGCTCCCATCTTCCTGAACATTCCCAAACTCTTAGCATACATTTCTTAGTAATAATAACATGCATGAGTATTTAATATTTGCTAGGCACTGTGCTGAGCAGTTTACAGGCATTACTGCTTTTATTCCTACCAAACACCTTTGAAGATATGGAAACTGAGGCTTATAAAGGTTATATAAGTTGCATCAAAGCACAAAGCTAAGAAGTGGCAGATGGAGGTTTTGAACCTAGGAAGTCAGAGCCCAGAACCCAGTACCCACATGTTGAAACACCATGCTGCCTACACTCCTTTGCTGCTCTCTCAACTAAGCTAGTCAAATGCCACAGGTGTATGATGCTTGTGTCTGAACACTTCTCCCCAGGAACATTTGAGAGACATCAGCAATGAGCTTCTATGATGTTATAATCAACATCTGCAACCTCTCTGTGCAAGCCACCAAATGTCTGCCTAAATCAGCTCCACACGTTCTATTGGGAAAAGGCTCTACAGTATCGTTATGAGATTTACTTTTGTCCTTCACAATCATTCAAGAAGGCAAATCACTCATAATATTCCTTTTATAGATAAAGAAAGGGCATAGAAAAAAGAGTAGGTCACCAAAGTTCAGGAAGGAAGTCAATGGGAAACCAAGGTTTGACTCCTCAGCTCTTGGGTTCTCAGCAGTCTCTTAATTCAGACTTCCCCTCCACCCTCAAAAAAGACCTCCAGGCATGTAATGGTGAAAACATAGGTGTATGAGACCCTCCCTAAAGGAGCAAGATAATGCCATGAGAAAAAAATATAACAAGATAAAGCTATGTTGAGGAAATTATGAGTCATTCACTAGTATATCAGTAAAAATGTTTTAATGCATTTATCTATGTATAGCAATTATGTTTACTATTCTTGGGATGCTGATTCCATGATCACTCCTTGTGTTAATTTGGTTTCTAATAGATAATTCAAAATAGAGTTGTGGAGCTGGGCACAGTGATATGTGCCTATAATCCCAGCCGTTAATGGTTGGGAGGCTGAGGCAAGAGGATTGCCTGAGTCCAGGAGTTTGAAGCCAGCAACATAACAAAACCCTGTCTCTTAATAAATAAATAAAGTTGTAAAAATCACCTTTTTTTTTCTTTCAAAGAGACACGTTGTAAATCTGTTTTCTAGTGACTTCTTGCATATATTGGGAGATTTTTGAAATCTATTGTCCATTACACCAAGTTAGACACTGGTACTTATACCACATTCTTTGCAACATATTCTTTTGCATCTCATTTAGACTTATTACTCGTACAACCCGACTATCGTCTGATTTAGAAGGCCTGTGTTGAAATGTAGAATATGGAAATCCTAGAAGAGGAATGATATATTTAGGGTACTTTCAACAGTGTTAGGTATATTTAGTATATCCACTTAATGCTGTTTTGGATGATTTATAGTCTGGGCTATGCTATGTTTCTCAGAAATTATTTCAGTTATATTTCAAAGTTTAATTTGAAAAATATTTTAAGAAGTACAAAACAAACAGAGGCGGGTCCAACTTTTCTTAGATTGCTGGAGCAGCAATAACAAGGATGCTGGTACAAATTCTAGGCACGAAATGGGCTCTATCGCTGTCTCTACCTCTTTGTAATTTTTTACTATCTCTGGTGGTAAGAGTAAGAAGACAAGTTGCTGAATTTCAAATGTCCTTCGGTAACTGGAACATTGCATTCTAATGCATTTTGATGAGTCAGATTAGTTATTTGTCACATATGTGGGTAGTGCAAGGAAATGTATTCAGTCCAGAAAATTAATCCAGGCAGCCAGCTATGAGCAAATGAATGAAAGTGACCAAAAGCAGGTCAGGACAGAAAGCTGAGAGCAAAGTACTCTTGAGGCTATTCAGTCACCAAGTCCTTTTAATATTGAGTAATATGTTTAAGAGGTTGAAATCTCTACCGTTTTGTGAAGATGGCAGAAATCCTTTCCTTCTTTGGAAAGAAATTTAAAAGCAAAGATGCTGGAGTGAGAAGACTTTATATATTTTACTCCTTCTTTGAGTGTATGTGTTGCACTTCTAGGACACGTGGATTCCACTTACCTGTGGAGAGAAGGGGTTGGGGAGGCTTCATTGTCAGCAAGCTGTTTATTAGAGATTGGGAGGGTGTTTGTATTCCCTGACACAGCTGGCTGGGGACCCCTTACCTTGGAGATAAACAGGAAAGTGAAAAGTCTGGGCTAAATTTTGTTCTGTCACTGGTCAAATTTCTCCCAGAGTTGAAAATGGCATTGCTCTTCCCAGGCTGTTGAAATGAGATAATGTCACATCCTGAATGAGATCACTAGGTCATAATCTCCTCCTCATTGTGATTTTCTTGGCATGTGTGAGAATTACTGGGTGAAGGGGGAAAGGATGAGCATGAATTGAACAAAACCATTCCCTTAATTAAGCTCACAGCCTTGTCACCTTCTGCTCTGATCCCATCAGATCTCAGCAACTAAGCGGGGTCAGGCTGGGGGTGTCGGTGAATGACTCTGTATCGGTGGCATGTACCATTCAGTTGAAGCCTTACACCTTCCAGGCAAGTGTGTGCTGCTCTGTGGGCTTTGCGGTAAGGCACATTAATAAGGCGACAATCCTAACATGCTTTGGGCTCTCGGAAAGGTTGGTATGATATAAATGAAGGTGTTTCAGTTTCTCTTACCCCAATTAAGAAATCCCTGGAGACAAAGCTTCCTTCACAAAGTCAGACACAACCTGTAGTCAACTGAGAGAAACTCCAGCCTTCTCAGATGTTGGGAGGGTAGAAATGATCATCAAGATTCAGTATTTAGGATATTGCCTTTGGCAAACAAATCCCCACTCCTGGCTGAGGAAATGGTTGAAAACAGGAGGGCTTAGCGCTCTATGGCAGGTTTTGATCACTTGGATGGTGACAGAAACATGCTGAGACTGACTGTGGCAATTGCAGATCTCATTAACTGGTTATGTTATTATGATGATATTATTACTGCCGTGTCCACCTACCAGAGCTACCTCCTCTTCAGAAAAAGAATCCTTTACTACAGACAGCTGTGGCTTTGGCCCTAACCTCAGCAGGGAACCTGAGTGTCTGTTGATCCTCTTCTGCTTGGCTAGAGGCAGATCTAGCAGCAAACGATGTGTATGTCTTGGCCTCCATGTCCAAACACTGAGATGTCAGTGCAAAGGTAATCTGGGGGAAAACAAGACCATCACTGAGAAGAAAGAGCAAAAGTGAGCATCTGCCCCAGCCATGGGAAGCATTGGCCAGTTTCCCCAGAACTTACCCTCTCATGGTAAGTTCACTGCACCTCCATGTCCTGAGACCTTCTACAAGGCTGGCTTCATCATCTCCTTTCATCTGTTACCTCTGCAGGTTTCTGGAAATAAGTTGCAGGGTAAGAGTCTATCCTTTCTGGACTGACTTGTAATCCCTTTTGTTCCTGTTGGGGAAAATGGCATGCACTGACATTGTGGTTAGTAAATAGCCTTACCCTTGATGCCCATGCATTCCTGGAGGGGAATGAGGAAGAAGAGGCCAGATGGAAGGGAAGAAATGGTGGATTGTGATTCCAAGACAGTGTATCCCAACTTTATCTCAGAATGGTCCACGAAGGTACCATGTTTGGACAAACGATAAGGCAAGTGAAGACACTTGTCACTTTATTAATTCACTTAATTACTCCTGGTTCATTTCTATGCTGCCTTACTTTTGCCTCAGGCTTCCCTCATGATTTACCTTTGGCCCTTTGGCTGCGGTTGCCAGAACCTGGAGAGAGTAGCTTTAGAGAGAGGGCTGTCCACCAGGAGCCAGGCCTTCAATCTAGGAATGCAGCATCTCCAAACTGTGGCTCCGGATTGGCAGGATGAACTCATTCTGGAATTTATTTCCAGAAATCTGGAGAGGGAAAGGATGAAAGGAGATGATAATGATGAAACTGGTCATGACATAGAGAATAAATAACTATTCTCCCTCTCTTCTTACTCTCTCATCTCCTGACAGTGACCTCCACTGGCCAAACCCAACCAAACACCCAGCGGTAAAGGGAGCCCACAAATGCAGTCTCCACAGGTCAGCCTCATGGGGCCTGGAGCAGGTGGGGGAATAGGACTAGGTGCAGATGGAGAATATCAGGAGAGTCTCCACTCTGTTGACTGTTTTGTTAGTTTGTTTGATTTTTGGATCTGTTCACAGATCCAAAGGGTTACGTTGAAAGTAAACACGACCTAGGACAGGAGGACAATTTTTACTCCTCCAAAGAAGTATATAGGTTTAGCATACACTCCATCAAAAGCCCCCCAGAACTGAGTCAGGGAGAGAGAGGTGCACTCTATAAAGTTAGCCTTTGTTCTTCAGAAGTATTTCATTCTAACACAAGTTTGCCTACAAAGCTACTTTTACATTCTAAAAAGTCCCCAACGTATGGCCACTAGCTCCAGATGTGTTAATAGAGCCAAAGCAGCTCACAACAGGCTCCTTGAGTTATTGAATAACAGAACTCAACAGGCAGCTAAGCCTTCCGACCACACACTTTCACCTTTACATGCTCTGAGTCAGCTTTCAATAGGCATTAAATTCTCCCTTTGTTTTCATTCCTTGCTGCCATAGCTCTAGCGGGGACCTGTGAACAGCCGGGCTGAGCTAAGCACCCTTAAATATAGGTCTTTGAGAAATCTCTCTGTGTATGTGAGTTCCATACGTAAGTAATGTCCAAGGAGGAGGTCGAAACACTGAAATATTGAAATAAAAGGCAGGAGGCTTTAGTCCTACTCCTGGTCTGTAATTCTTGACTAGCCCTGCAGGGGAACCTTGGACAGACATCTTTACCTTCCTAAGACTCACGTTCTGCTGCTCTAAAATACAAAACAGAGTCCTGTTATCACAAAGAGATATGGGCTGGAAGAGACCCACCTCCCTAGCTTGGGCTTTGCTGAAAGGCAGCAGTCCTTTGAGGCTGAGGAAAGGTGAGTTTTATTGTAGTGTAGCTCCCAGGCAGCTGCTTCCAGAGGATTCACGGGTTCACAATTTAAGAGACAACTAAGCATGAGGATAAAACTTCCATTAAATGGCGCCCATGTTTCTGGTACCATGACAACCTACTAAACCATACTCGCTGGCTAGGTTTATTAATGTCCACATCTAACATTTTGTACATTGCTCCATATCCTACTGCAGTTTAGAGTCATCTCCTGAGTATTTCACGGTGAGTTATTTACTTAGTGTGACAGGAAAGGGATTAAAAATGCTCCATGTTACAAAAATCATATCCTTGTCTTCTGCATGTCCACACGACAAACGAGAAGGAGGAAGAGCGTGAGCTCTGGGACAGTATCCAAAAACAAGTTAAATTGAACTCTCCTTTACTCTTATTCAAAGTTTCGGGCTGCTGAAACCCATTTTCTGTCCTCAATATTTGTCCAGCTGATGTGTTAATAGAAGCTTGTTTTTCACAATATGTTCATATCACCAAAAGCATTCAGGGAATTCCTAGATCACTTTAAATTTTTCCTAATTCAACATCTGCTGGAAGGAAAACGTGAAAGCACCCAGATGCCTTTGCTTTAGAACAATTCCTGTGACTTATTTCGCATTAATAGTTTTTATTTTAACTGGGATTAAGGATTCTAAGGGCAGATCTGAGAAGCTACTTTACTAACTGTAAAAGGAAAGAGAATGAGGAAAGTAGATTTATCCATGCTGAATGAATACCGACTTACCTGTCCCAACAGAGAAATAACTAACTAAACAGCTATTCAGTAAGCCTGCTACAACTACCCCAGCCCCACCCCAGGCAAACAGCGACTTCAGAACACTTATCTCCTGAAGGAGGCTCTTGCAATTCAGATCACAGGCTTTATTTTTTAATTCACGCATGTTTGCTTCAAAAGAGCTCCTCTGCCGACTACGGAAGAACAAAACGAAAAAGCCAAAGACAGAAACACTTAAGGATTTGAGGTCGGGGAAATGTTAGAAGGTTAGAAGTTAGGCAGTAAAAGGAAAAGAAACATCCACTCACTAAATCTAGGACAGCCTTGTACAGAAATCTGCCCCAAACTCATTCGTTCCTCTACCTTAGGAACAAGAGGAGCTCCCTTGTTTGTAGTTAGAATTTTAAGGACTTGTACTAGTCTTTGAGCCAGGTAAACAGTGAATCTGATTCTCAGCAATTATGAAAGGGCCAGGTTTTTTTGTTTGTTTGTTTTTGTTTTGGCAGAGTCTTGCTCTGTCACCCAGGCTGGAGTGCAATGGCGCGGTCTCAGCTCACTATAACCTCTGTCTCCTGGGTTCAAACAATTCCCCTGCTTCAGCCTCCCAAATAGCTGGGATTACAGATGTGTACCACCATGTCCAGATCATTTTTGTATTTTTAGTAGAGATGAGATTTCACCATGTTGGTCAGGCTGCTCTTGAACTCCCTACCTCAGGTGATCCACCCACCTCAGCCTCCCAAAGTGCTGGGATTAAAGGTGTGAACCACTGCACCTGGCCATGGGTCAGGTTTTTAAAAATGCAGTCACATGTTTATCTAATCTTCATAATTTCCACTATATATGTGAAGTGGTGGCCTTGAGAATGTGCCTGTCAGACCTCCGATTTCAGGGAGTTTGCTGACGCAGGGGTCTAGCTCTGCCTAGGGAAATCCATAGTCCCATTTGCAATGAACCTTGCTTCCCCCTGGCTGCTCCCAGCCAATGACTGCATGCAGCAGGGACACTGCAGGGGGACCCATCCCCAGGCGCTGTGCCTCCAGTGGGCACCAATACCATTGTTATGGGAGCTGAATAAGTTCTGTCTTGCTACTTGTGCATTTTTTAATATGTGTGATTTCAAAGATGATGTTGTTTAGGAAGAGGCTAAATATGGGTTTTGCAGAAAGCTCAGGCAAAGGTTTTGGCAGGAAGTTCACTTGGAAAGGTGTTGCAGGAAGCAGAAGTGGGGGCCTGGGAAAGTGAAACAGGAAGGGAGGGAAACCAATAGGTGGATGTATGATTGAGTTGACAACTGCTGCGACTGGGCTTGAGGGCTCTCAAAGGCAGCCTTGCCAGACTCTCCCGAGCCCTGCGCTAGACTCTGAGACTTGGGCATGAGGAATAATCTTCCTTCCTTCCCTCTCTCCTTCACTCAGGGTCAGACCTGCTGCATAGCCTGATGGCTCTCTCAGTCTCTCCTGGCTCCCTCCCTATTATCTCTGATAGCAAGCTTGTCCAACCCATGGCCCGTGGGCCACATGCAGCCCAGCAGGGCTTTGAATGTGGCCCAACACAAATTTGTAAACTTTCTTAAAACATGAGGGGTTTTTTTTTGTTGTTTGTTTGTTTTCTTATCAGCTCTCATCAGTGTTAGTGTATTTTACGTATGGCCCAAGACAATTCTTCTTCCCATGTGGCCCAGAGAAGCCACAAGATTCGACACTCCTGTCTTATAGATGTGACTCTTAACATGTTTCTTGTACATTTAATCCCATCTTTTCCTCTGCTACTTGGATAACCTAGATTAACATATGTAGTAGTATCTACATTATGTATATAATTATACACGACTATATATTTATATATAATTACATACAATTATGTATATAACACATACACTTAAAGTAAACTTACAGTGGCATATTGGACACCTCCAGTTCATTATTTAGCTAATCTAGGGCTCACCTCTTACTCCAGTCACTGCTGCAGTAACCAGTTGCATGTAGGTCTTAGCCAGCCAGCTTTGCACAGTTACTTGTTTAGCACCTCAGACCACTTGCCAGGACTGCTGGCCACTCATGCTCATGGAACCCAGAAGAGTGGGGCCATCTTTGATCAGTGAAGGCTGGGAGTTGCTGGATAAATCCTTTCCCCTTCCATCTCCTGAGACAGCCCTGAGACCCATGTCACAAGGTGCCTTAGAAGGTCCTGTGGATCAAATGCTGCTTGACTGTAGCAATGGTCAACTCAATCATGCATCCATGTATTTCTTTCCCTTGATCCCTGTTTTAATCTCCCAGACCCTCACTTCTGCTGCCTGGGATACCTTTCCAAATGAACCCTCTTTGCTGTGACTTTCGGGGAAACCCATACTCAGCATCTTCTTAAACAATATTTGTAAAGTCACACTTAAAAATAAATACACCAGCATTAAAACAAAAAATAGTGGCAGGGCACAGTGGCTCACTCCTGTAATCCCAGCAATTTGGGAGGCCGAGGCAGGAGGATCAAGACCATCTGGTCAACATGGTGAAACCCTGTCTCTGCTAAAAATACAAAAATTAGGTGAGCCTGGGGGCATGCACCTGTAGTCCCAGCTACTCGGGAGGCTGAGGCAGGAGAATCACTTGAACCCGGGAGGCAGTGACAGTGAGCCAAGATCGTGCCACTGCACTCCAGCCTGGTGACAGAGTGAGACTCTGTCTCCAAAAAAAAAAAAAATTTACTTATCATAAGACCTAAAATCAACTTACATATCATCTGGCGTTTATACCTCATTTTAGGCAATACTATAACAAAAGCTGTTGAAGTAATTTTGTTCTGACACTACTGTCTTTTTCAGTGGCCATATTTAAAGTAAAATCAGTTACCCCATTGAGTTAAAGTGTTCAGTGAGACCAGAAATAACTAATGGAACCCAGGGCTCCTGGGTTTATTTTGCTTTTGTGTGTTTTGTACACGTGCAGTGACAAGGGGCTTCTCTGTAAGCATTTTGTTCTATTTGGCTTTGTATAATCTGGACACATTGTGGTTTAGCCTTTTACAATAATCTGGTTACAGCTGTTGTTTTTTGGAAGGATTCTCTCAGGTAGCTGAAACTGTGGCCCATGAGCTCAGTGTGGTAGATGAAAATCTAAAGATGTCCCCCCAGGTTTCCCATGACTGGGTTGCATAATCAAACACTAATTTAGGAACTGTAAGGGGACT